AGCAAGCTTTTACTCATGTTTTACCATGCTTAAGCTCTGTTTTATGTTGTTTAGGTCATGCATGCCTTGCTTTGTATAGCCATAGTTCATTCTAGTTTACTAGCTTTGTGTTTTGAGTCCACTAGCATGCGTTGCTTGGGCTATTCACATGATTTAGCATCATTTGATACATGATTTTAGAGCATGTTACATTGTCATACACTCACATGTGTCACTCTTTTAATGCTTTGGAGGGTTGGTGCTTTATGCCTTAAACATGAGCTAATGTGTATGCCATGTTGCTTAAGCTTTTGGGCTACCATCTCAGTGGATTTTTGGTCTTATTTTGCCATGATACAACTCTGATTTTTATTGGTAAAGTCATCTCATGCTTGGTGTTGGTAGATATAGTGTAATCCTCTTTGTTGGCCCAGCATGCTCTATGTTTCATGCCTTCATGCTAGCTTGTTTTGGCTATACTCCATACGTGTTTTAGCATTGTTTTGACATGCTCTAAGACATTTTGGGTTGTCTTGGCCATATGGTTCATGTATTGCATAGCTATAGTGCAAGTGCCTATGCTAGTTTCAAGCTTTGAGCCTCCTAGCATGCTTCATTTGTGACATGTGCATGATTTGGCATCATTTAACATGTTATTTTAGGGCATATAGCATTGCCATATTCTCATGCATATCCCTCTTTGATCATGTTTGAGAGTTGTGCTTTTATGTCTTGTTGATGGGCCAATGCATGAGCATGCATTATCTTACTTTTCATGCCATCATTTCAGAGTATTTTGGCCACTGTTTTGGCATGATTTAGGTCTGTCTATATTCGGTTTAAGTCCATTGAGCATTGTATTGTATGTCTCTTGTGAGATGTTCTTTCCTAGCTTTGATGCCTTAAGCTTCTAAACTTGCTATGCATGCATTGTTCATATGTTGGAAACTTGTGCATGCCATTCTAGCATTCATAGAAGAGCATGTTGTTTGCATGTTGTTATATTGCATTTTGTTGCATTACATTGTGTTCACATGCCATTAGCATTGATAGGTTGATCATGTTGTATGTGTTGCATTGTGTTTGGATAGAGTGTCAATGCAAGCACGAGAAACGAGGAACGTTTCATACTTGAAGTGATGAAACGTGCCTTATTTCTCTGTCGTCGACCCTCTTGATCAAGCATGATAGAGGTTAAGGCCCTTATGTGTTATTTGTGCATTCATTGACATTGAATTGTGCAAACTTGGCTTCTCGACCATCGTGCATTGCGATGCTCGGTTGGTGGCCCAAAAGTCGAGAACCGCACTCCCTTGAGCTTAAGAAATGATGGGGAGGGTGGTTGTGCACACATACCTTGCAAACATATTGTTGTGCCCCTTTTGTTCTCTGTTGTAGCAAATTGGAGCTTGGCAAGATTTTCTGGTTGGCAGACCAGTAAAAGTGGCTGGCCGACCACTTTTTCTGGTCTGCAGCATGTGTAAGTGGTCTACAGGTGGTCTACACCACCATTAAGTGGTCGGCAACCTTCCTGGAGGTCTCCATGATGGAGTAGAAGCTACCTGGAAGTTTGTGCAGTGTTCTGAAATCAAATGCAAACAGAGGCAAGTTGGGGCATAGCGATGGAGTTTCGAACGAGGTGACCGAGCATGCATGCACTTTTCGCCCCGAGGCTCCTTTTAACTATTTAGCTTAGCTAGTTAGCTATTTGGTTCTGTACTTAAGTAGTTAATGCACTTAGCTATTCATTTGCATTATAATAACTAATTAGTTAACTAGGATTAGTTAATTAATTTCGTTTTGTAATAATTAGTTTAATTAGCTTAGATTAGCTAGTTAGCTTATTATTCAGACCCTCCGTCGAGAGGGCGAATATTGTAATAAGTGTGCGTATGTGTGATGCATGTCTTCCAACCCCATTTCTTTCTTCCTTTTACTTACCTGCTTTCGATGGTTAGTTTTAGGGTATGTTTCAATTAGCATACTTATGCTTACATGTTTGCATCCATTCATCCTGTCTTGCATGCACTAGGCTCGGCGCATCATACAAACTACATTGTATTTCAATACCAATTTGAATACATGTTATCAAGTTGCATTCACATGACATCTTAGAATAGTCGAGCCTATCTTAGTTGCATTTTTGCATGTGTTGCATTAGGCATTGTTGACATAGCTAGGATCATGCATTGATTACTAACTAGCTTCTGTTTTGGCTTGGAGTACACTGTGAGTATTTATACTTTAGCATCTTTGCATGCGTGTAAGTGGCTGCTATGTTTAGCATGCTTGCCATGAGGCTAATTGTTTAAGTATTTAACTGCATGAATGCCTGTGGATGAAGGCTTCATTACTTGAATTAGAACAATTCATCAAAATGTGTGTTTTAAGCCCACTTGAAGTGACAAATCATCATGTTTTAAGCCTACCTTGTTTGGTGGCAAATCCGCGCTTTAGCCTACTTGCGAGTAGCAACTTCAAACCATTTTCGAAAAACAAACATGAGATGTTTTGTTCCAACTTGAGTGATTTAGTCTATACTTGTATGTTGTGCGCATCACACAGTAAGGTTAGCTAAAAAAGAACACATGTGTTTTCAAAAACAACATATCATGTTAGTAGAGACCGATCCTTTAATCGAGCGAACGGAGGTGCTCATTGCAGGACCTTCCCCTCTCGTACCTAAGTTCCCGAGCCGAGGCAACTTTGGTGATGACGGACACGTGGCCTTAGGCACGAGTCAGGGTTTCCTAAATTTTTCAAAATAAAATATTTAGGTGGCGACTCTGAAATCTGGTAAAGCAGTCCATGTTTGGCGCTTTTGATTAAAATTGATTTTCCAAAGTGATTTGTTAAATTTGGACTCTTTGGTGATTTATTAGTCTTGCATTGCACTTTGTGAGATTAGATTTAGAATCGTGACAGGAGTCCGAACTGTAGTAGCTAGAACTACAATTTGCGCCCTCGCACGCGAAGCGGAGTTCGGGCGATCTACAGCTTTGTTTGGGATGTGGGTTAACTTTTTAATTTTTTGACTATTTTAGCCTAGGACTAAAAAGTCTCGTTCGAAATGATTTTTTTGACTTTTTTGACTTTTGTGGAAAAAAAATGAAATAATTATGATTTGAATGTAATATTTTATCTTATTAACTTTTTAATCTATTTTTTCTTTTTGTAATTATTTTAGCCCAAAAAATTTATTTCAAACGTAGCCATGGACATATCCAAACTTACCATCATTATCTCTAAACATTACATAAACCTAGAGCTAATATATTATACATTACACATTAACATTTAACCCAGAAACATTGTGAGATACAAACATCATCAACACATACATAATAGACCCACATCAACATTCCCGCCACAAACATCAAACACACCAACAAAAACACATACATATCGACCACAAATTACACACCAAAAGTCACGAACAAACACTAGTCTCGAATTCCATTTTACGGTCGACAGAATCACGAGAATACATACCTTCATTTGTTATTGTCATTTGTCCTCAACACCAACACCACAGTTGTCAGACCTTTTCACAATTGAATTCGATGTTACTGAACTCACTACTTGACGTCGCCAATCATTTTTCGCCCAAATTTTTGCACCTTGTGAACCAATGTTACGTCTAGGAATGTTTCTAGGGTTTGGTCAGTGTAGGGTTTATGAATCACAAACTTGGGAATGTGGAGTTGCTAAATCACCGGCGAAAAATATGTCATTCCCATTTACATGTCACTCAAAACCACGATATATTGTTGATCAATGTTACACCAATCTCTAGAAACTTTCCATTTATGAATGTTGAAATTCAAATCACAACATATAAGAAAAGTCTAAATCTGTAATTTCACACTGGGTGAAATACCACATTTATCCCTTAACATTGCAAAACCTCCATACTTATGAGTGTCCTTTTGTGTCAAATACCACATTTATCCCTAAACATTGCAGAACCTCCATACTTATGAGTGTCCTTTTGTGTCAAATGCACTATAATGAGACTTCTTGGTCTAATTTAAAAAAAAAAAAAACATACAAAACTAGGTAGGTGTTTGGAAATTTATTATTTTAGTAGACTATTTTAGTTTTTGACTATTTTAATAGGTTAAAATTTTTATATTTAGGAAGATAGTTAGATTTTTTTTTTATAATTAGATGTGATGTTTGTGAGTGAAAAAATAAAATAATTATTAATTTGATATGAGATTTTATCTTATTAACTATTTTAATCTATTTCATCATTTTGTGAATTTTAATTCAAAAAGTTTAAAAAAAATACCATTGTCAAACACACTCTAAATAGTTTATAAATTCTTATATCAAGGTTTATTGGTGCATCACTTTAAATTTTTTAATAAACAAAAATTAAATAGCAATTATATGGTTCCATTAAATGTTTAAAAAGGGCATTTACAATCATTCTCACTCTAAATATATATATATACACTTACATTTCCGTCATCATTGGGGTGATCGCCACAAAAACCCATCGCCCTCCGGCCACCTCTTCTCCCTCGGCGATCCGCCGCCGGTGATCGCCGTTCCGGTCCACCGCCGACGGTCCCCAATCTCCCGCCTCCAATTCCCTCCCCTGGTTCCTCAATCTCAATCCCCAAAACACCACAAATTCCATGTGATCGATTTGCGAAAACTCGCAATTTTATCCCCAATTTTCCATGATTTGATCGGTGTTTCGTTAAACTAGTTCTAGGGTTAGGGTTTATCAGCCTGAGATGTTCAAAATCATAAAGCGAGGGCACCGAAAGCTCTCGAAATCGGACGGTACCGATTTTGGCTACGTTGCTCCGGCAAATCGGAATTCTGGGTCTGTTTCGACCTCGGATGTTGTGGTAAATCATGCCTCCATTGGTCCGGCATCGACACTCGTCACTTACACCGGAGCTACTATCGTTGTTGCTCCACCTTCAGGGACAATTGAGATTCTTCCTTTGCTCAAGGATGTTCCAGCCCCTGAAAGACAGAACTTGTTTTTGAGAAAATTGCAGATTTGTTATTACCAATTTGATTTCTCTGATAATCTGAAAATGGTTAGAGAAAAGGAGATTAAGAGGCAAACCCTAGCAGAGCTTGTTGATTTTTTGCAATCTGGGTCTGGGAAAATTACAGAGAGTAATCAGGAAGAGATGGTTCGGATGATTTCGGCGAATATAATCCGGTGTTTGCCTCCTGGTTCTCATGAAAATACGGGGTCCGAAATCATAGACTCAGAAGATGAGGAACCCTATCTTGAGCCTTCTTGGATCCATTTACAGCTTGTTTATGAGCTGCTTCTTAGATACATTGTGTCATCCGAGACTGATACGAAGATCGCCAAGCGGTACATTGATCACTCTTTTGTTTTAAAGCTTCTTGATTTGTTTGATTCGGAGGACCCTAGGGAACGGGACTATTTGAAAACAATTCTTCACCGGATTTATGGAAAGTTTATGGTCCATCGCCCGTTTATTAGGAAAGCCATCAATAATATATTTTACCAGTTTATATACGAGACAGAGAGGCATAGTGGTATTGGTGAGCTTTTGGAGATTCTTGGTAGCATAATTAATGGGTTTGCGCTGCCAATGAAAGAGGAACATAAGTTGTTTCTTGTTCGGGCGCTTATACCTCTTCACAAGCCTAAGCCGGTTTCGTTGTATCAGCAGCAGCTTTCGTACTGCATTATTCAGTTTGTAGAAAAAGATTACAAGCTGGCTGATACTGTTATTCGGGGTTTGTTGAAATACTGGCCAGTCACCAATTGCCAGAAGGAAGTTCTGTTTCTTGGGGAGCTAGAAGATGTGCTGGAGGCAACACAAGCTGCAGAATTCCAGCGCTGTATGGTTCCTCTGTTCAGACGGATAGCCCAATGCATCAATAGCTATCATTTTCAGGTTTGGGGGAACTTTGAAACCTTTGTTACTTTTATGTTTCCATGCACTTGAATTTATTTTGTTTAAGCTTCTGCATCATTAGGTATATGTTATAAACATGTTAAAATTTGAAATCTGGATCATGATGTCAATTAACAGATTCTTGTTTTTGATAATCTAAATTCTATTAAGATGAGGCACTACACCAAAAATCTATTTAAAGGTGTATAAGATCCAGAATTTGAGTCAAGGGTGGATTAAACCATCCCAACAGCCAACTATACAAAGTAGATAAAAATTTAATCCCAAAATTGTTTCTTTTTTACCAACTAAAGTGTTTCTATTCCTTTCTCCCCGAAGTATCCACATGATTGTCATGAGGGCCCAGCACCAAAAGCGTTCTTTCTCCTTGGAATTTACTGGATGGACACTTACTGCTAGTATAGACCCTTGTTGGTTGGCAGTTGTGATGAATTCCCATTATTTTTTTTCTAGCTTTTTGTTTGTTTGAGATATTGAGTCAAATGGTTGTTGATGATTTGTCCTTTTCTGCTGTGATAGGCATAACATTTTCTAATTTTGTTCTGCCGAATTATTTTTTATTTGTTTTGGTTTGGTTGAAATGTATTGTCATCGATTTGGTTTGGTTTGGTTTGGATGACTTTGTTGACTACATCTAGGTTTGTGAATTCCTTTTTCTTGTGTGTTTTTGGCTCTCTATCTTCTCAAATAAGAGCTTACAGACTATTCACTACATATCTCTTCCCTTTGAGGGGGAAAAAATTGGCTTCTTCATTGAGTCTTCTTCACCTGTAGTTTCTTTGGACTTTCCTGTCAATGCAATCTGTATTTTTTCTGAGTGGACTTTAGATTTCACTAGATCTCATTGGTAGCTATTCAATGGAATACTCACCCAATTATACGCTGCTAACCTTCACTTTTTTGGGGGTGTCTGCCATATTTTTTGGTGGATTTGGAATTTCAAACACAATGGGCTTGTTTAGTTGTGTTTTTGTTTTCTTTGTTTTCATGTTTTGTTTCTTGTTTTCATATTTTGTGTTCTCAGAAACAAAACAATAAAAAGCTCAAAAACATCCCTTGCTTTTCATATCATTCTCGTTTTTGTGTTAAAATTCGAAACAACTTTTTGGTGTTTTCTAGATAGCAGTTTGTTTGCAGAAATATTTTTCAGTGGTTATATTTGGCTTACTAACCTTGAGGTTGTGGATTCAAACCTGAGAGTAGCCTCTTTGTGCAAATTATGCTATGGTCAGGCTTGTACCCAATATATCCCTATTAGATCCCCATCACACGGCGACTAAACTACAGTATCTAATTTTAGCTGAAAATAATTAACACAAACACCTAGCAAGTGTTTTCTCATCTTAGTCAAAGTTTCTTACAATGTTAATTTGTTAGAAAGATTGGCTAGTCTCCATCGTGGGCTTAAGGTAGGAAACTTAAACACTTGGCCAGAGAAGGTGATAGCCCTATAGATTTGTTCCCATGGTTTGATCCTTCCTAGTAAAATTCAATGTGTTCAAATTCTAATCGCTTACGCAAGAAAGGGGGACCAATCCTCTAAGCCCAAGTATTCCTCAATGACCGATAGTGCACAAGTACCATAGGGGAAAGTTGAAAAGAATCCTATTTAGGGAGTGCAATAGAGACCTTGAGATCTGATGCAAACAATCAGTTGATGGAGCGAAGCTTAGAGCTTTTACTTTCTATATTATATCAAATTTCACTAACTCTAACGTCATACCTTTTTGCATGATGGGTCAGCGAGAAAATAGGAACATCAACTTAAGCGATTAGAGGTGTAGTAGGTGCTTTCCAAAGGTGGAATCTTCTAGTTCTTATTTAACCCAAAATTGATCTATTTAGCCATGAGCAACCCACGTATGTGGAAAAATATGGGGATGACTTGTGCCTAGGGGTGAAAGGCCATTGATATCATACATTTCTACTGAAATAGATTTCGCGGAGAACCATCTATATCCACTAAATTACATTCATAATCAAAATTCCCTGAGAAGAAGTAATTCCTCTTGCAAAGTCTGTTATGCTGGCACTACAAGGTAGCAAGTCTTTCTCTGTCTTTTCCCTATTTGTTTATCATTGCCCGTGGAATCAAGTTTGCAACAAAGCCATTATCAACCAACAACCTATTCACAGGGATCACATCAAGTTGTCTTGTGTATAGCGTTCACATGTAATTGATGGCTCCTGGCGCAGGCTTCTCAAATATTACACTAGCAGTTGCAGAAGGATCCTTGGTGTCAGATTCATCCTTAAGGATGAGATAATTGCAGGGGCTGTCAATGGGCTTGACTGAACTTCTGCAGAATCTCAGGGGTCTCTCCTTCTTTAACATCCCCTTGTATAAATGAAGGTTGCCCCTCCTTAGCCATAAATGTCGGAGGATGGACAATAATACTACAAGAAGAGTTCTGTGTAGATCTGACTTCCACTTCATCTTTACCTTCTCCTAGCTTAGCTTTCCTTTCTGCTTGCCTTCTTCATTGTAGCCGTCACTTTTGGGACATGGAAATGGTTGGCTGTGGTTGTGTAAACTTTGGGTGTTGCGCGTGTACCCATCTATTTGGAGTAAAAGCAGGAGTCTTGACTGTTCTGGGCTTCTTTTGGGTTAGTACTGTCATCTGCAACCTCTCCAAACCTTCCTGAACCTCGGCTGTGGCAGGCCGAAGTCGTTGGAAAATTGATGCTCATTTCCTCTTGGTTTTTTTCCTTGTGTCTTGTGCCTTGTGTTTCATGTTCATATTTTATGATCACACTCTTAATGAGGGTTTGCCCTTCTGATTTGCTTGCATACACTAGATAGAGTTGGTAAATGAATTTGTTCTGTTACATCTATATGTTTGTGAGACAATGAAATCCTTCTGACAGTTCTCTTTCCTCTCTTGAAGAAGGCCTCATCAAACAAGTCATCTGAATTATCGTCTATGCAATACTCCTGGAATTGAATACAACTGAGTTCTTGTTTGTCTCCATACTTGCCGTGTCCCTTTCCCCCTTCGAATGTGTAGGAGATTTTAAGTCCGCTTCGTTGAGGCAACCATAGAACCAGTTCGTCTTCACCCCTGGACTGCACACATTCCCCTGAAAAAAAGCTGGGATCATTTCACACTAGACTACACTTAGTCCTGGCACACACTAGTTCACAAGCTCCTGCAGCTCTATTCCTCATTTGTAGAAGCAAAAAAATAGCATTGTTATAGGATTTACGATTTGAAATGGATAATTGGGTTTTGGTGATGTAGTAGCAATTAACCAAACCAAACCAAACCAAGCCAAGCCAAGCCTTAAGTCCCATCAAATGGGGTCGGCTACATGAATAAATCATTCTTTTCCACGTGGCCTTAGTTGCACGAAGCGGGAGCGGGAGCGGGGGCGGAAGCGGGAGCGGGAGCGGGGAAGTGTGAGCCGATAGAAGTTTCTTAGGTTGGGAGCGTAGCCTTGGGGAGTGGTAATACATATATATATATATTTTAATAGTTATTTTTAAAATATGTTTATTATATAAATGTGAGTTAAATAGTTATTTTTAAATATATTTATTATTTTTATCTTGATATTATTTTTATTGATAATATTTTTAATTTATTTATATAATTATTTTTATTTTTAATTGATGTATATTATAATTAAAAAAAATATAACAAATAAAGAATAATAAAATATGTTAAAGTAAATAAAAGTTAAAAATTGGATATTTATTTTATAGATTTGATTTGATATTTTTTATTATATTTGATTTAATTAGATTTATTCTTATATAACAAATTATATTATTTATTATATGTTAAAAATGGAGGGGGGAGACAGAACAGAACATAAATCGACGAGAGAGAGAGAAAGAGAGAGAGAAGAAGAAGCAGATCAAAGAAGAGAGAGAGAGAGAGAGAGAGAGAAGAAGAAGAAGAAGAAGAAGAAGAAGAAGCAGATCAAAGAAGAAGAAGGGCGATGGCGAAGGTGATGTCGAGAAGATCGAAGGCAAGAGCGATCGCGAGGTGAGAGCAGTTCGAAGGTCCAGGCGATGTCGAAGGTCGATGTCGAAGGTCCAGGCGATGTCGAAGGTCGACATCGATGTCGAAGGAGAAGGCGATAGCGAGTTCAGGTTTCTCTCTCTCTCTCTCTCTCTCTCTCTCTCTTCCCCTTACAATCCCATCTTAGACTGAATCGCGTTTCTCTCTCCACAAAAACGCGATTCTTACGCGTTTCTTTCTAGGAAGCGCGGAATCGCGATTCTTACTCAGAATCGCCATCTGGCTACACGATTCCTGCAACTAAGCACGTGGCCCTATTAAAGGCCATTTCGTTAGTCAAGTTAAGTAGATTTATATCTCTATTTACAACGCTAACCAACGTTAATCTAGGCCTATCCCGTCTCCTAACACTTCCATCTACCGTTACAGCATCACATCTCTTCACTACTGTCTCTGTTGGTCTCCGATGAATATGACCAAACCATCTTAATCGATTCTCTCTCAATTTATCTTCTATCGGTGCTACTCCTACCCATTTCCAAATACACTCATTCCTAATTCTGTCTTGTCTAGTCTTGCCACATATCCACCTTAGCATTCTCATCTCAGCCACACTCATCTTATCTACATGTTGTTTCTTGGTTGTCCAACACTCCGTCCCATACAACATCGCTGGTCTAATAGCCGTTCTATAGAACTTACCTTTAAGTTTAGTGGGTATTCGTTTATCGCACAGTACCCCAGATGCACTTCTCCATTTACACTATCCCGCCTTAATCCTATGAGCCACATCCGCATCAATCTCCTCCGCTGTTGTGATAATCGACCCTAAATAACGAAAATGTAGTAGCAATTGCTTGGTTAAAAAAAAGATATATCCTCTTTGGAAGAATAAAACTTAGACTATGGGCCTCATGCCATTCAATGAATTTTTCGCTCTAATTCGAAGGATTTATCACAATTTCTTGAGTCATTGGTTTCTTATTTGATGCAGGATGATTAGGGACAGGG